AGAGCAATGGCAAAAGCTGTAAGGCCTTTTGAGACCTTGGCTGCAGAGCTCATGCAGTGTGGCTTTCACCACAATCTACCAGTCAAAGCAAGATATGAGGTCAGGCCTGACTTATAAAAAGAGTAAAAATCCTCCCTTCTGGATTAGAGAATATTAAAACATTTATTGATCATTCATCTAGCACGATGTTGTAAAATACATGAACTACTTACTATTAATGAAAAATTATATTACTTTTTGGGGGAACTTTCTTAGTGTTAGAACTTATTAAATGATACAAAGAAATACCTTGGGGAAATAAAATCATGTTTTTCTGTCAAAAGCTGACATTTTCGTATAATGAATGTCACAAATTCCAATGCCTATGAAGCCACAATGATAACAAACGTCACTGAAATGAGCCAAGTCAAGATTGGAGTAATCTGCACCATATATGCTCCATCTGAAAATGGAAAAGTAGGTGGTTCTTTTTTGGCTGTATAAGCCCGTGATGCTTAGATCACTGATATTTTAAAACAAAGATTAAATATTGGTAAGTAATTTCTTAATTGAAACAAAATGAATCTAAAAGTTTCATGCAAAGACAAAAGACCCAGAATAGTGAGCACAATACTGAATAAGAAGAACAAAGTTGAAGGGTGGATACTACCTGATTTCAAGACTCACTATAACATTACAACAGTTGAGATAGTGTGATATGGGCAAAATAATAGATCAATGGAATAGAGGAGAACTCCCCAGAATAGACCCAGACAAATACAGTCAGTTGATCCTTGAGCAAAATCAAGTCAGTGGGGAAAAAAATCGCCTTTTGAACAAATGGTGCTGAAACAATTGAATGTCCACATCAAAAAAAAAAAAAAAAAAGAGAAGAATCCAGACATACCTTTCACAAAGATTAACTCAAAATGAACTGTAAACCTAAATACAAACACAAAACTATAAAACTTCTAGAAGATAATGTAGGAAAAATATAGGTAAGCAAATTTGGCAATGCATTTCTAGATATAACAACTAAATAATAACCCATGAAAGGAGAAGTTGATAAGTTGGACTTTATTAAAATTAAAAACGTATCTTCTACAAAAGACACTGTTAAAAGAACCCAGAGATTGAAAAAACAACCCACAGATTGAAAAAAATTTTGCAAAACACACTTCTGATCAAGGACTTCAATCTGACACAAACAACAAATTATTAAAACTCAATGATAAGGAAAGAAATCAATTTAAAAATAGATAAAAAATCTGAACAGACACCTCATCAAGGAAGATATAAAAATGGAAAGTAAACATAAAAATATGTGTAACATCATATGTCCATTGGGGAATTGCAAGTTAAAACATCTATTATATGCCATTACACATGTATTCGAATGGCTAAAATTAAAAAAAATGGCAATAGCAAATGCTGACAAGGATGTAGAACTGTTTTTGCTGGTGGCAATGAAAAATTGAACAGCACTTTAGAGGACAGTTTGGCAGTTTCTCACAAAGCTAAACAGTTTTACCATACAATCTAGCACTTGCACTCCAAGGTATTTACTCAATTGAGTTGTAAATGTGTGTCCTGATAAAAATGTACGCTTGAATGTTTATAGCAGGTTTGTTTATAATCACCAAAAACTTGAAGCCACCAAGGTGTATCCTTCAAAAGATGAGTGGATAAACTCTGGTACATCTATACAATGGAATATGATCCAGCAATAAATATAAGCAACCTATCGAGCCACAGAAACGCATGAAAGAATCTTAAATGTATATTGTTATGTGAAAAAAGCCAGTCTGAAAAGGCTATGTACTTTATGATTCTAGTGATACGACATTGTGGAAAAGGTACAACTATAGAAATAGTAAAATGATCAGTGGTTGCCTGGAGTTTGGTAGGGATGGCAGGGGTGGGATGAATAGGTGAAGCTCAGGGATTTTTAGGATGCTGAGATTATTTCAAATGATATGACATGCATTTGTCAAGCCCATAGAATTATGAAAAGTAAAGGACAAACTGGAATGGCAGCTATGGACTTCAGTTAATGATAATATATTAATATTGGTTCATGAATTGTAACAAATATAGCACACTAGTGTAAGATGTTTATAATAGGAGAAACTGCATTGCAAGGGATGGGGACCTGATATATGACAATTCTCTGAACTATCTATCTGTTCAACTGTTTAGTAAATAAAAATTTTTAAATAAAATATTAAATAACCATTTTGTGTTGCATGATTTTGTTTTCTGATGAAGTAAAATAGTTTGAGTAGAAAATGTCAGCTGGACATGGTGGCTCACACCTGTAATCCCAGCACTTTGGGAGGCCAAGGCAGGCAGATCACCTGAGATGAGGAGTTCGAGACCAGCCTGGCCAACATGGTGAAACTCCATCTCTACTAAAAATACCAAAGTGAGCCAGGTATGGTGGAGCATGCCTGTTAACCCAGCTATTTGAGAGGCTGAGGCAGGAGAATCACTTGAACTCAGGAGGTGGAAGTTGCAGTGAGCTGAGATGGCACCACTACACTCCAGCCTGGGTGACAGAGAGGCTCCATCTCAAAATAAATGAATAAATAAATAAATAAATAAAAGAAAAAGTGTCTCTTCCATGGGTAAATTAGTAGCATTGTTGATAGGTCCCAGGTAATTTTTATTTAAGCTAGAAGATTAAGTAGATCTTGTTGTTTTTCACAGGGGATATTGTAAAACTATATTGTGTAGTATAAGTTGTAGAAACATTTCTACTGAGGAGCAGGTGGTGAAAGTAAAATATTAAAATGCATAGGCCTCTAATATCAAGACAACTATTTGTAAATCCAAATTTTGGGAACTTTCCTGTTCAGGAAATTTATCGATAAGCTGTATTGTCTTTCAAACCATATTTGAGAGATTTGAAAAGTCACTTTGAAGAAAGGAAATGGAGCATACCATCAGCAATTTTCAAAAGTTCTGAGATATTTTTCTACAATATTGATATAATAAAGATGAACCTATTTGGAAAATGCTCTCAATATTTTCATTGTGAAGAGTATTTATTTTTGTTGCTGGAACAACCAGAAGCAAATGTGGGAAGACTGAGAAAGTGTGAAATTTTCTCTCTCCACACAAAGAATACTTTAGGTAACAATTACTGTCCCAACTACTAGCTTGAGAATAGGTGTCTTTTATTACCCTGTGATTCACCTTGTGATTCACCTGTGTGGAGTTGGGTCAGGGTGATGAAAACTAAGGATAATGTCAAATGTGTCCTACGTCCCCTCCCACTTTATATCCTCTCTGATCACCAGCAGCTCATGCTATGACCCCATTGGGTCTATCCTCCCTCAGTGATTCTCCTCACCCCAATCCTAGTTCAAAAGATTTCGTTGCCTCATTTTCTTTGCATCCAGATTTTGCTTTGATTCTGCAAAATGACAGATTACAGGATAATCCCACTGAATGAATTACGTTGAAGATGGCTTCAATTAAGCCTTCCTCAGGAGATGTGGATTTTAATGGGTACTTGAAAACACAGTATCTTGTCTCAAATAAACTTTGAGTGACATGATTTTAGTCCACAGGTCTGGTCAGAGGACACTGCCATGGGTAGAATACCCTCCTCTAAGGACTGATGTTGGTGTGTCCCCAGATATTATTAGTAGAGCTTATATAGAAGGGGAAATAGAAGCTCTTAACTTTCAGCAAGCCTACCTGAGCATTGCATTCTGGGCTTAGAACTTTGTGAATTTTTCCTTTATTCCACCTGATACAATCTTAGCAACTTTGGATGAAATGTATTTAAGGACTTAATCAAAAGAGTTCCTAGGTTGCATAAACACTGTTTCAGTTATCTGCTAGTGAAAGTGAATAATGTTCCATATATAGAACTAGTAAATGCATCAGATGAAGTAGAAGGGTGCAGAGCCCTTCACTGACCCAGGGTCTCAGCTCTAGGGGCAAACTCTTTCAAATGTTGTGAAAATTAAAAATAAACAAGCCAGACAGTCAGATTAGTTATAAAATAAACCAACTCAAGTTATACAAATGTAAATTCCTTTTCTAAGAAAGCAGTTCTTTTCTTTTTTTTTTTTTTTTTCATTTCCGCTGTATTTAATTGGTGGAAGCAAGTAACAAGAAGAAGTAGGGAGAAAGAGTTCACCTCTTTACAGATGGAATTGCAAAATTACAAAGACCATGGATATAGGGATGGATGAATAATTAGACCATTTCCTTACTTGGATTCTATTACATTTTGCTGAACCTCTTTGTAGTACGAAACTTTTCATTCTTTCCTCAAATCTGTCTTCCCTGCATCTTTAAGAATTACCATTTCCTAGGTATCTTCTTATATTTCTAGCCTGCTCTTTGCAATGTCCTTACGTGGGTTTGTTTGTTCTTTAAATATATATTTTTCTCTAATTCATTATTTGGCTTTTATCTCTTATAACTGAGCATATTTACCCCATGATTGTGCCATCTTTTTCTATCCCCTTGCTTCAGGCTCAGAAAGCAGTTATTTTCTCAGCACCTGTGTATTCTAATCCTCAGTACCTGTATGCTATTTAACACAATTTGAATATGTCAGATTCTAATCTATTTGTTTCTCTTATTTTCTGAGCCACAGAAGCAATAAACAATGTAGAAGAAAGTAGAATAGATATTGGTGGTAGGCAAACTGAACATATCAAAAAGTTTTGGATAATAACATTTAGAAAAGCTATTGACATTTTTCTATTCTCCAATGCCGATAAGTAAACAAGGCCTGCTTACTTATAGGTAACCTCAGATACATGAATAGCCTCAAGCTGATGCCCTATATCATGACATCATCTACAGCTAAGAATATTTCAATACCATAATCCTATAAACTTGGGATGAAAAAAACTGTTTTAGGAGTTTGCAAATTTCATTGACATCTTTCCATTTTTCTTCATCTTTTGTCTGGTTAGGAAAAAAAAATCAAAGTATACCATTTATCTTTGCAATGTTTTTCATACATTATGTGATACTGTGTTTTCCTCTCATAGATCCAGGACTGCACAGACAGCTGTATTTTCTGCAAAGACCATCCAATGTAGTAGCCATTGAAGGAAAAGATGCTGTCCTGGAATGTTGTGTTTCTGGCTATCCTCCGCCAAGTTTTACCTGGTTACGAGGCGAGGAAGTCATCCAACTCAGGTATTTCACATTTAAGACTTTTTTTGTACTGTGTACTTTTGTATTAGTATATGCTGCTATTTATATTTCTCTAATTTGATATAAGTACCTACAGTATTAGGGTTTTTCATAATAATTGAATATTTTTCCACATTTCTTGGCGTGATACAGTATATGAAAGACAGCCACTGGGATGAAAAGATGAGGAAAAGATCAAAATCCATGAGATCAATTCTGAAAGGAAACTGAGAAAGTCAGGGTTGCCTCTGAGATGGTCCTGCCCAAAGAGTCTTCAGCAGAGAAATTTTGGTGGATTCCATTATAAGAAAGTGGTATATAGCGAGGTTTGATCCTTAATATTCTGTGTCACACACAAAAGATGACTACATGAAGTGATGGATATGATCATCAGTTCAATTGTGATAATCATTTCACAATGTATACATATTCCAAAACATTACAGTCTACACTGTTATTATATGCAAGTTTTATTTGTCAATTTCACTTCAATAAAACTAAGGAGAAAAATAAAACTAAATTTTTCTGAGTTCAAATATGTAGCATGTCTTTACAGAGTTTCAGCAATTTTTTTTGAACTTCAACTATATTGCTCATATTTCGAGCTCTAACAAATATTTAAGGGAAGAGAGGAGAACTTGGCTGGCTTTGAATGGCTGGAACATTAATATTAGGTAGAGTTAGAAAGTAAACTCTCAATAGAATGGAATACTTAGTCCTTCTGATGAAATGGATCTTACTTAATTTCACTGATTTTTGAGGACTGGTATTCTCCTTTTTAACATACTTATTTTTAAAGAAAAGGTAAGTCCATCAATCATGAATTAATCTTTAAATTTCATTTACCTTATATATTTAGATAACAACAAGGCATGGTGTTTGATATTACAATATTTTTGAGAACATTAGAATACACAGGAAATCCAGTTACAGTTTCAGCACATCAAGGTGTGTTCTCTGGGTATAGCCAAGCACTCTTCGTGCAATAGCAAATATGGTTTTGCACAAAGATCACTAAATTGGATTTCAGGGCACAGGACGTTGATTTTTCACTCCAGAGGATCGCTTCTCTAGACCTTGAGGTTCTCAAATCCAAAATGAGAGATTAGGACGAGATTATCAGTTTTTAGCACTAAAGCTACTTCCAAGTTTAATCTGCTTCATTTGTTTGATCACTACACACAATCTTCCAATGGGAGTAGTTTACCTTGAGTGAATTTTTTTGATAAATAATGAGACTTTAATCAAGTCCCTATGATATAGAGTTTCTTTCCAGTGTCTTAGTTTGAGCTTTGGTGGAGGTCATTTAAAGCTCTGAGTATCTTGCTTAATATATACATGTGTTAATTTACTTTTTACCTACTCTATGTCTTGCAGGTCTAAAAAGTATTCTTTATTGGGTGGGAGCAACTTGCTTATCTCCAACGTGACAGATGATGACAGTGGAATGTATACCTGTGTTGTCACATATAAAAATGAGAATATTAGTGCCTCTGCAGAGCTCACAGTCTTGGGTAAGTTAGTGGCTGGAGATGAGTTTATATTGTACCTTTCAAAATATATCACCGTGACATTTTAAATGCTCATCGCTGAATTGATTCCTATGTTTATTAGTGTGAAATTGCAAAGTCCCAATACTCCACACATGTCCTTGCTCTGCTCTGATTAATTGCATAGGGGTTATATGCAATGTTTGAATATTTATTTATTAGTTAAAATCCAGATATGTTATGCTTTAATCTAATTATTCCAGTGATACGGCTGAAAAGTACCAAAAATTATTAATGGCAGATGTGTTAAATAATAAATATGGTATTCCAAAATATCTGGGAAAATAAATGAAGAAAAAAATGAGAGAAATTGTACAAAATATTTATTCTTGAGGGAAAAAGGCAGATGTTATTTGAGATGACAGGGTTTCTGACATTAAATTCAGTATGTTGGTAAGATTGTTTTATTAACATGGGAATACTGTGAGTGTTATGTTGAAAGTGAACCATTAAAATCAAGTATATGTAAGGAAAAGTTGCATAGCAAGAATATAATTTAAAGAGATTTAAGGATCATTGAGGGGTTCATTATATTCCAAAAGGCAGGATTACCCATGTGTCATTGCAAACGAATAATTTTTATACATGGTAGATATTCAAACAAACATTTATTTTTATCATTTACTCCAGATTTACTTTAACCAGTTTTATTTGAATTATGTAGTTTGGAGAAGGTGCCTTAACATTTGGATTTAAGTTGCTTTTCTTCTGTAACAACAACCAAACATTGACTCTTAGGAATTTTTCCTCTGGAATAAATCTTTTTGCCTTTTAAAGAATCCAAGAAAAATCAAAGTCTATTTAAAAGTTATTAAGTAAAAATGAAAATATATCATATGCTAATTATATCTGCTAACATATACCATGATATTATTCCATCCATTTTGCTTTTTGTCTTCAAAGGTTATTCAGAAAAACACTTTCATATGTGGGCACAGTAATAATGTATATCATAGGTTAGGTAATGAAGTTGCTTGTTCTTTGATCAAACCATAAACATTAAACTAGGAATGGGCAAAAGACTTAAACTCTGGATTTAGAGGTAATATTATACTAACTAAAATATTAGCTGCCTTTAAAATGGCACAATTTCATTCAATCATATTTTAGTGAAACAAAGAAAATAGAGAACTTTCACATTTGTAGTGTCAAAATACAGTAACACAAATGGTTATGATGGAAATTGTATTACTGATCATAAGGTAGATTTGGTTACGGAATACGCTAGAATTTACACTCATCATAGGTAAACCTTTATTTGCAAAAGCATGAGGTCAAATTTTTCTTCAAATTAATGCACATTATTTTGACATGTAATGCTTCATTGACATCTAAGATAAGCATATGCAAATACTGATTTCTGAGGATAAACTAAATTAGCCTAAACACACACACACACACACACACACACACACACACATACACACATATATGTATTGGCATACATGTGTGCACTCATACTGGCCTTTTTTCTTTGTGAATTGTGTAAATTAGAAAACAATTAGATGCTGTTTGATACACAATCCAAAGATGTACAAGAAAATATTTAATAATTTTTTCCACTGCAGGCAGTGCATTTCTATACCACTAAAGTGAATACTTTCGGTCTCTTGGAAAGTTTTATTCCATAAATTTTTCATGTTTCATTGGTGCACATATGCCCACATAAAGTTTGGTAGTGACATGACACTTAGATGCTTCTTTGATTTTTCCTTAGGCCAGGTGGTTAGTCTCTGTTACAATACCTCTAGTGAACCTTGACCAGTGTTATGTAAAGAAATTTTCAATATAAAAATATTGAAAATAAGCATCCAAAAAATGCTCAACATTACTTATCATTAGAGAAATGCAAATGAAAACCAGAATGAGAACCACTGTCTCACACCAGTCAGAATGTCTATTACTAAAAGGTCAAAAAAAAATAACAGATATTGGCAAGGTTGTGGAGAAAAGAGAGAATGTTTATACACTGCTTGTGGGAATGTGAGTTAGTTCAGCCATTGTGGAAAGCAGTATGGTGATTCCTCAAAGAACTTAAAACAGAATTACTATTTTACCCAATGATCCTATTATTAGGTATATACCCAAGGGAATGTAAATCATTCTACCATAAAGATACATACACGCGTATGTTCATTGCAGCACTATTCACAATAGCGAAGATATGAAATCAACCTAAATGCCAGTCAGTGGTAGATAGAATAAAGAAAATGTGGCAAATATATACCATGGAATACCATGTAGCTGTATAAAATAACAAGATCATGGCCTTTACTGCAACATGGATTGAGCCATTATCTTAAGTAAGCTAATAAAGGAGCAGAAGATCAAATATGGCACGTTCTTATTTATAAGTGGAAGCTAAACATTGAGTACATGTGTACACAAAGATGTAAAGTGTGTCTTTATGTACTTGATGTTTAGTTTTCAACATGGGACACTGGGGCCTACTCAGAGTGGAGGGTGGGAGAAGGATGAGAATCAAAAAGCTATCCAGCACTATGCTTATTACCTGGATGACAAAATAATCTGTATACCAAGCCCCAGTGAGATGCAACTTATCTATATAACAAACCTGTACTGATACCCCTGAATCTAAAATAAAAGTTAAAAAACTTGACAACATAAATTAAAGTAATATAATACGGTTAATATGCATTAGTAATATCTATGTGTACATACACATATGTAAAACATGTACATATGCACGCATGTGTGTGCATATTTATATGTGTATATATGTACATATATGTAGATATAGACATATTAGAAACAGCATTTACTGAGTTCAAACCATGTGAGACATCTATTTGTTACAGTATCCTCTGTGGGAGGTATGTAGGTGGAGCCCATTAAATAACAACGCTCTTACCTTCTGTACTTCTGTACTAAGTGAGAAACAAGAACAGCAGTAAGGCATAGGGTAAGTCAGACATCACCTTAATTTGTTGAAGAAACTGCCATTGAGCATGTGGTTTGCAACTGCATGAGAGGGACATGCCCATCTGGACACGGGTAGTGTCTGTCTTGGCAGGATATCACTCAGGTGTGAGCTTGTCCCACTGCCTGGTGGCTGGTAGCAATGAAGAGCACTTGCTCTCTTTGCTCGGGCCTGTTCCCAAGAGAGAATTGTAGGTAAAAGGAGCCTCTTCAAACTTCCAGGCTGGTTAATTTATCTGTCGTGTATCCTGATCCAGGCTCCCCTCAACCCGAGAAAAAGTGGGTATCGGGGAGTGGTGAGGCCGGAAGTCATTCCCTCGAGGAGTTGCCTCTCTAGGGAAGAAAACATCAGTGTTGCGGAAGAGGTATTCAACATCCACACCCCAACCTTAGGTGTTATTTTCCTGTTTTACAAACGAGGGCATTTTAGCACAGAAAGATAAGTAGCTATCCCAAGGGAAGATCCAGATTCATATCCAGGCATCCGACCAAAGCGTCTCAGGCATATGCTTTACTATCTGCCCTGTGCGCTCCACATATTCTTATTCATCTTTTTTTAATTTTTATTTTTAATTTTACTGAAACAGTTATAAAAAGAAGCAGGTTTATGTGATGTAAATGAGAACAATCTGAAATTTCAATTTGGTTAATAATTATATAGTCACTTTACATAAAATAAAATATGTGACCGTAATGTAATGATCTTGACAAAGCAGGAAGGCTGGTAAGGGAGCAGGCAAGAAAGGAATACAAGCTGTTCTTTGAGAATGAGGTTAAAACAATTGCCATACTTAGAATCTGTAGACACAGAGCAGGTGAAAAGTGTACTCAGTACAGTAGTGGTTATTGCTTATTTTTTATTTTTTACTGTGGTTTCTTGTTTATTCAAAGTGGTGTACCATTTGTGTAATCAGAAAAATAAACGTGGAGGTATAAAAGTTGACATTTTTATGGTTAAAAATGAGATAAATAAAAATGTTAAAACTCAGAAAATATTGAGATTATGCTCACATACAAATAACCCAAAGACCTGGACTTTGCAAACACACACATACTCACACACACTCACACACAGATACACACACACACACAGACACAGACACACACAGACACACGCACACATACACAGTCACACACGTTTGTTTTCTACATGTACCTGAAATATGTGCTATATTGTAACCTCATTTTCACTTGAGGATAAATCACGACATCTTTGTTCGTGTGTGCCTGTGCACATGTCTGTGTCCTCCAGTTCTAATTTGTTTCCTTTTTGAGACAGGGTCTTGCTCTGTTGTGGCCTTGAATTCGTGGGGTCAAATGATCCTCCATCGTCACTCTCCCAGATTTCTGGGACCAAATCTGTCTATTTCTTTTTTCTTTCTTTTCTTTTCCTTTTTT